GAAGAAGTCGCCGGAGAAGATTATGTCCACACACTACGTCAAAGGATGGACGACATTCATCAGAGAGTCCGCCTAAATATTCAAAGTGCTAGTGACCGAATGAAGGAACACTACGACATTCAAGCTGAGCATGGAGGATACCAACCAGGGAAGTTGGTGTGGCTATATAACCCGCAGAGACGTCGTGGGTTATCTCCGAAGCTACAATCCTCGTGGGAAGGGCCATACGAAGTCATGGATAGAATTAATGACGTCGTATACCGTATCAGAAAATTGCCAAAAGGAAAACCGAGGGTAGTCCATTTCAACCGTTTGAGCCCCTACCAAGGCGAAATAGAAGATCGTGCTGGGACCGTGAGAACCTGCAGCTTTGATCCCCCTGATTCGGAGATGTCCTTTGACGATTTCATGGCCCGATACAACAGCAGTGAGAAGGCTCGCTATGGTGTAACCAAAGAAGATCAACGAGACCTCTTTTCCGTGCCTCCTGATTATTCGCTCGCTCATTGTGTGGCTCGAGATTTGCGGATGTCCAGAGGAATCGCTGCGACGTTCAATGAGAAGTTTGGGCGTGTCGGAGAACTACGCCGACAGGATCCAGAGGTTGGAAGCGTCTTGAGGCTAACCGACAATGCACATGGTCAAGCAAGGCACATCTTCTACCTGGTCACCAAGGAATGGTCCCCGAGTAAGCCGACTTATCTCAATCTATGGAAGACCCTGATTGAACTGAGAGAAGCCCTGCTAAACAACAACATTGCACGATTAGCCATTCCGAAGCTGGCGTGTGGACTCGATGGTTTGAGTTGGCGTACAATCCGGAACATGATTGAAGTCTTGTTCAGATTTACGGGAATCGAGATCCTCGTTTGCTGCTACAACCCAAAGCTGAGATCGGGAGAGAAAACTGTAGACTGCTATTTCTACCAGACTTCGCAATGTACCAGGGGCCAGCTTTGCAAATACCTTCATTCACCGTGTACATCTCGGGACGAGCATGTGCCTAAGAAGGGGGCAGTGTTGTGGACCCGTGTGAACTCGACCTAACCTAACTATATGTCCCGCCCTCAGATGACCTTAATATCGCATTAAAGAATAGACACGGTAATGATTCGTTCGTTCGAGAAGAATCGAGTTCCACTGGAATGGACTAGTACATACGAGAACATTCGAAAACCTTCTCTACGCACCTAACGATCTATGGACTATTCTAGTGTTCTTTACCTGTCGGTATAAAAGCCGGCGGCTGTGGAGAGGGCAGTTATAAATATACCAGTGCAGTTGACGCGCTAAAATTCAAAATAAATTCTTAGTTATAAATCGTTTGTAAATAGTTCTATAAGTCTTTTATCGTTATTGTTTTTGTTAATTAGTGTTAAATAAATAGTGTTTAAATAAATTGTGACTTTCTATCCACACGGAACCGACGAAAAACGTAACAATAATTTATTTTTAGTTGTTTAACAGAGATAGGCCTTTTTGTTATAACAATAATCAATTTATTTCCGAACGAATAGTATACATACGCCCATGTAAAATAAATTTAAAAATGATGGTAAAGTGTTCTTAATAAGGAAAAAAAAATAATACAATATTCACATTATGGAATACATACAAGAAAAAATCTGGAAATCACCAAAAAAATCAGAAACAAACATTTTTAAATACTTTTATTCGCGTTGGATTAGATCAACTGAAAACAAAGGCAATGTTCATTCCAGAAGCAAGTAAAATACTCTTATCCAGTTTAGTTTAATAATATTGTTTTTTATACAAAAATGCATTTTTTAACTAATGTATTTTTAGTAATTATTTAGTTAATTGAGTTGAATAACAGGTTTATCACTAGTGTAAAGGGGTCGTAGGTCTTGATATTTTCGTAATACTATAGGTTTTGGCTCTGAATTTTGTTTAGAATGTGATGTTGAAAAATCAGCTAAAGTTTTAAGGTTGCTGTTCTATAACTTTCATGAGTTACCGGTAACAGCTGGTTGGGCATAAATAACTCGCCTGTTTTTTCATTGCATGAGCAATATAACGGATTTAGTAACATTGCCCGAGATCAACTGATCGAAAACAAAGTTAACCAAAAAGATATTTGCCCGAGTAGAAAAATCATCGAATTGCAGAACAGAAATAAAAATTACCAAAAATGTCGATTTTTTGCAAAAGATTGTTCTAATACAGGGCATTTAAACACACGGCCCATTTAATAAAAACCAAACTAAACAAAAACAAAACATGTTTCTTCATCAGTGCCTTTTTGATAGAAATAACTGTGGAGTAACAGTTTCTGTTTTCCCTGTTCACCGATAACAAATTCGAATTTCATTCTACGTGTTTATGCTGGATGATGATAGGCACAATAAATAAAATTTTCGAAAAATTGGCAGGGATGACAACGGCAATGGCCTGACAATGATAATGAGATGAAAATTATAGTATTTTTCGGGCAACTTTTTGGTTCGCTAAAATGTTCTCAGGGAAATTATGATTTCTGGAAATTTTCCTTCGGCCATTTATTCTTGGACAGTTTTTTGGATACTCAATACAGCTATGTGCAGAGTCTAAAAGATTCTAACAATGATTTTTGGCAAAAAAAACAGAGAAAATCACACTGTAAAAGAGCTGCTGCCATGATAGAAGTTTTATTTTGTCCCAAGCAACCATCGGAAAATAATTAGGCAGAATGGTGTTATTTTCTCTCGCATGCATTTTCGTAACTTAAAACAAAAGGACCTATCTCAAATTCCATCTGTCTTGTATGTAGCATAACAATTAGTATAATAATTGATGTAACAAAGAGCCCTATCTCAACATACGTCTCTTCGTCATAACAAAGAATTGTAGTATTTGAGATGGGGCAAATTTTTAAACGAATATAAAATGAAAAAGGCATAATATTGAGATGCGCAAATTCGCTATGTTAAAATATGACCCGATGTGCATCTCATGACTTTGATATCTCAAAATCGCCAAAAATCAAGATACGCCTTTTCGTCATAAAGCCGACGATATGATAGCGTGTGCGCGACTTGTAGATAACTGACGTCAAAGGTCAAAAAATCGATTTTTTTCGCATTTTGTGCAAATATTTCGTCCCCTTTTACATTTACGCTATTTGTATTTATTACAAATATTGTAGAGTATAAAATTCTCTACAAATTTTGTTTCAAAAATTTTTTTGTACCTCAAACTGTTTTTGAGATAGAGGGCGATGAGCGCGCAGTCTTTCATAGTAGTCTCGGTCAAAAACACGCCGTATAAAGTCCTTTAATTATTGAAAAATATATAATTATAAATAATTTACATTTTCTCATAAAAGATCATATTGAATATAATAACTTTTATTAAGTATATCTTCATTAAATAACACTTACCTCCTTGTACAATTAGAAAATTATTAACAGAAATACTTTAATTACATTTTAATTATAGTCAGATTTATACTAATTACCTCCAGCTCCAGAAAATTTGCTGAACACAATATTCTGCAACTGTAAGAATGGTTGTGGTTCGCGATGTGGATGCAGGAAATCAGGGTTGCCGTGCTCTTTAGCTTGTGGCCAGTGTAATGGGCAAGCTTGTCTCAATAATGCTTCACCCTATCAGAGTGATGTCAATGAAGATGGTACATTTGACCCCGAAATCCTAGAAGACTTGGAGACAAATGTCGTTGAAGATGAAAATGAAGAAGAATTTGAAATTCCACAACGACCAGATGACGATGATGAAGAAGAAGAAGAAAACTAAAAATAAGAACATGGGGGGGGGGAGTTCTTTTTATTTTTATTCAGTTTTATGTCTTTTTATTTTTATTTAATTATTATCTATTAATTTTTATATATTAAATTTAATATTCTATTTTTATTATTTTTTTAATTATTTATATAATTTTTATTAATTATTTATTTTTATTTAATTTTTTTATATATTCAAATCGTATTTTTTAATAAACATTTAGATGTTGTCCTTTTATTTACTTAAAATGTAATTAGTATAAATCTAACTATAATTAAAATGTAATTAAAGTATTTCTGTTATTAATTTTCTAATTGTACAGGGTGGACCATTTTGGTTGTTTCTATAGGGTATCTAGGAAACCGTGAGAAATATTCAAATTTTGATACTGCAGTCTCGGGTTCTTTTTTTGAAAAAAAAATACAATGGCGCAAACGGATCGTGGCTATCTTGATCGGTTTCGAAGCTACAGGGGGATTCTCAGATTTTGTACTTTTTGAAGATGTTCGATAGTTTGTTTATTTCTGCAACCGCGGAAAAATGAATTATACATTCTAAAGGCACTTTTCTGTGTAGAATGCAGTGGCGTAGTCAGACTTTTTCAAAAAAAAATATTTTTTGAGATATTAACTATAATTAGAACCCCCTCTATATTTTTAAATTTTCTTATTCAGCTTGGCATGGGCTTCTCGAAAATATATAACACTCTATATTTATTTTAACTATTAACTTCAACATTTCAAATTTTTCTTAAAATATCCACTTAGTAGATAGTAGGCCGCGCCGAGTAACACAGTAAACGGTTGTTATAGTGATCGGAACATCTAAGATCGGAACATCAGTCCCTAGCTGTGTTTGATGCGGTTTTTTTATCATATGCTATTATCATTACATTTTTTGGGGATATGTATCTTAATAAACTATAGGCAGCATTTATAAAAAAACTTATTTATATCCTCGTAAACAACGTGGCATATTGTACTTTCTCGAACAAATGGGTCACCCTGTATATGTATGATTCAAAATCTATGAAAATAAACATTGCCTATTTGTATTGCAATATGATAAAATAAAGTTATTTGCAATAAAACGTGCCTGCGTCCCATCGGTATATCGAATCGGACTTGCACAAAAAACTAGTCAAATACTAAAAACCACAAGCATAAACCACAATAACGGAAGAAGAGAACAGCTGAAATCTTCTATCTCGTTTATTTTTAACAAATCAATAAACATTTTTTTTTCTAACCGTTAAACAGGAAATGGAAGAAAACCGTTTATAAAACAAGTGCTTTACAGTTATGGATGCCAATAAAATGTTGGAATACTAGGTAAATGAAAGTGAAAATTGACTAAAATAGTAAAGTAGATACAGTGATGAAGAACATATTTAAGAAGTTACTGGATAAAGAGGATGAGACTAAATTGACACAGTACATGGTAGTTTTTACTGGTGAGTTTTGTAAGCCACAATATCTAATAAAACATAATATGTCAATCTATAGGAGATATGTCTTAAAAGAATATTACCCAGTGTAAAAGCGGTGCAGTGCTAAAATAACTCCTAGTTAACTTCTAGGACTAATAGTCCAGGAGACGGTGAATTATTTTGTTTTTATTTTCCCAGTGGGTGATAATATAATATTATATCACAGATTATACAGATTATAATCTTTCTTTTTTCTTTATTGTTTTTCGTGGTTCCAATTTTCGGAATCGGGCCCTAGTTAGGTGACTAGTTTGCGCACATAGCACGCCCACTTATGGCCTCTAAAATTGTGCACAGCGCCTGACCGGCACAGTTATTAGAGAGATAACGAAAAACCGAATAGCGTCATCCAGTATTTATGCGTACCTTATCATGGTTACGATGTGCGCGAGTCAATTTTTAACGCAACACCCGCTAATAACGTTATCGCCTGACGTAATCTGCGGATCAATTACACCAGGCGCTCTTTCTAAATAACCTCTGATAACGTTTAAAAAATTGCTTAAATGGGCATGTGCGGGTATTTGACAACCGGAGCCGGCCGGCGAGATCTTTTATTTTAGGTTATGTTTGAATTGTTTTGAATTATTGCTTTAGTTTTATTAGGTAATTTGATATTTAAGTAGCTGGGATTAGTTTTAATTAAATAAATATGGCCCAAAATATGGATTCCACCTCTTCCAATACTAAAGAACCTATAAAGAGTCTTAGGTTTACAGCAGATGACGACTTAGCCCTTCTAAGAGAATTTGTTGCTTGTTGCCCTAAACCCACTGGCAGACGTTGAACAATAAAGCACTGGAAATAAGTACTTTAGCCCTTTAGTTTTAAAATACCTAGTAAACAAAACAATTTCAAAGTTTTAAATTCAAAGTTAGGTTAAATTTAAATAGCGAACGCGACGCGATCAGAATTCTTTCCGATCCGATAACTATAAATGAAGAGAGTTAATACCACCTCACTTAAAGGAAATAACACCTGGTCTTATTAACGTCCATGCACGCTATTCGGTTTAGCGATATCTCTCTATTACGCTGTTTATTGTTATTTTACGCGAGTTTATTTTTGCGCACAGGAAATTTGACTCGTTTGCACATCGTCATAATAAACAATTTTCGTACCACGAATTAGGGACAAGATTTTTATCTGTATACTTATAGGATACCTAATCTGTGGTGGCCTTAAGTCAATGACTATTTTTGTGAGTCTGCGACTAAAATTTTCGGTTGGGTTCACTAAATAAAAATAAAAAAGTCCATCTATTTTCCCAATCATAACTATTTAACATTTATTAAAGTGAATCATTTTATTATTGGACATAACAGTCTGGCACGTCCAAAGTGACTGGAAGTCAGTCTGGCTGAAAATTTTTTATAGATTTTTGAAATCCGTAACTCTTATTTTCACATGTCTCAAACTTAACGTATCATTTGATAATCAAAAGTAAGTCTTTCTGATTTACGAAGTTGCCAAACGAGTCTGACGGCATCTTTTGAAAATTGCAAAAATTACAAAATTTTTGCTCTCATTTTCTCCGATTTGAAAATTTGACAACTGATAAATAATACCTACTATAATTTATAATTTCATAGAAAATACACGTCTGGCTGTCATTTACAATCACAAAAACCCATGCCAGACTTACAAGTTAGGTAAGTTAAATGAGGAGACGAAGCGGCACGTGCGTATTTACCTATGTATACACGCTCGTATTTTTAGATGGGGAATTTTTTGATACTCAGCAATTTCGTGATTTTCAATACAGCAAAATCGAGAAACATTACTCTTTATTTCAAAAAACACATTCATGTAATGAGAAGTTTAGGACAAGTCGCCTTGACCAGATTGTTTTATTAGAACTCAAAAACTAAGGGAGATACAAAATAAATCAAAGGTCGATTTTGTAGAGTAGGTATTAAGTTTCCTACAATAAACAACTGACAATTTTCTCGTATCTTTGATGGTTATAAAGTTATTGGCGAATAATTTTTTTATGAGGGACGGATGTATTGACATTTTACTAAAACCGTGTTTTTTAGCCTCCTGGGTTCTCAAAACGTTGAAAAAAAAGTGTTTTCAGCGATAGTCAAATTTCGCCCTAAACTAATACTTTTCTTATTATAAATTTTGAAAAGTAAAAATATGTAGGGATTAGTCTAGCGAGTTTAGCAAGACTTTCGGGATGTTCCACATTAACTAGACTATATTTGCAGCTGTAATTATAATATAAACAACATCTGACAAATAATAACTGACTACGAATAATTTCTGAAGTAACGTCAATATTTGGATGAAAATTGGTCTCTGATAGTTTTTTGACATGAGAAATTTGATTTTGATGTCATTGTGACTCATATTTCTAGAGGGCGCCACCCACATGTGTTTTAACTGTTTTGAAGAGTAATAACTTTTTGTCCGTACCTGTATAGAACTGCTGAGTGAAAAAATATGCATTTTCGTATTTTTTTAAGTAAAAAATGTCTCTTGGTAAAAATCGTTACAAGCAACCCTTCTCGAAATATTTAGAATGGGAATAGTCAATACATGTCATTATTGACAAAAAATATGTTGAGTAGGTAGTTATTGGACTAAAAAGATAAATTTGAATTTTTTTTTTTAAATTAATCATAAAATTTTCTTCGAAAAAATGATGACGATTAGAAGGGCTAAGTCGTCATCTGCTGTAAACCTAAGACTCTTTATAGGTTCTTTAGTATGGGAAGAGGCGGAATCCATATTTTGGGCCATATTTATTTAATTAAAACTAATCCCAGCTACTTAAATATCAAATTACCTAATAAAACTAAAGCAATAATTCAAAACAATTCAAACATAACCTAAAATAAAAGATCTCGCCGGCCGGCTCCGGTTGTCAAATACCCGCAGATGCCCATTTAAGCAGTTTTTAAACGTTATCAGAGGTTATTTAGAAAGAGCGCTTGGTGTAATTGATCCGCAAATTACGTCAGGCGGTAACGTTATTAGCGGGTGTTGCGTTAAAAATTGACTCGCGCATATCGTAACCATGATAAGGTACGCGTAAATACTGGATGAACGCTATTTGGTTTTCCGATATCTCTCTAATAACTGTGCCGGTCAGGCGCTGTGCCACAATTTTAGAGGCCATAAGTGGGCGTGCTATGTGCGCAAACTAGTAACCTAACTAGTACCCGATTCCGAAAATTGGAACCACGAAAAACAATAAAGAAAAAACAAAGATTATAATCTGTATAATCTGTGCTATTAGATTGAAATCATAAATTTGAAATGTCTTGAACAATGATGATGAAGTGTTCTATCATCATTTTTTATGAATAAATACCAAATAAAACTTGAGGAATCAGCAAATTAAGAAATAGTCAAAGAAATATAAGAAAAACAATAATCAGCTGACACACAGTCTTAATAAGCAAGGAATTTTTTTTGATTGCATATCGCATTTTTATAATTGTTTTGTGGGACACTTTTTTTAAATTTAATAACTGTTAATAAACATTTAACTTAATAAACATTAAATGTTATTGTATGTATATCTTCGTAGTATTATTTTATATACTTTTTCAGCTACTATAACATTGTTTACAGCTGGTATATACCAAGGATGGGCAGGTCCCTCCTTAATGAAAATCCTCTCCGACGAATATCCAATTAAAGTAACAGTCGAAGAAGCCTCGTATGTAACAATAGTGGGCCCTGTTGGTCATGTAATTGGAGGATTTTCTGCTTCGTATTTAGCTGATTATGTGGGAAGAAAAAATACAGTGTTGGCAATTGGCATACCTCAGGTAATAATATAGTTATAAAGCAGTGCTCAAACGGCTGGTGTACGTGGCAAACATTTTTTTATTGATTTGGCATATACTTGCCATGCTGCAAACCTAAAGTATATATTAGAATGTATTTCAGGAAAATATTTTAACTTCTACAAGGTGTGTCAAAAATTTGTGAGTGGATTGGGATGATTTTTAGCATTTTTGGCTTCTTTTCTGATCACTTTACATAATCCTGAGGTATTATTAAATATATTTTGATAGTTTCAGGGGGATACTAATAAATAATTAAAAAAATTTGAGACTTTAAAAAATTATTAAAAATACAAGAAATGTCCTGAAATGGAAACTATAAATTACATACTATACGTTAGATACTTTAGATTTGTACTTATACAAAATTTCTAAGTTGTTTATTATACAGGGTGAGTCTTAAATCAGTGCAAATATTTTTAGGGGTAGTCAATTTTGTTCTCAGAAACACGATTATGAGGTTTTTTCGCAAAAAAAAAATTTAAAATTTGGAATTTTTTGAAAAAAAAATTTGATTTTTTTTTAGTTTTTTGTTAATAAACATAATTTGTTGATAATATGGCAACAAAAGGTAGTAGATTAATTTTACAAGGAAGAAAATTCAGAAAAGATCCAGTGGTTCTCAAAATTTTAGCAAAAAATCATTTTTTTTGGAAATTTTCAAAAAAAACTACGCTTTATTGTACAAAAAGCCAAAACAGCTTCATCGACAAAGCATTCACAAAACAAAAAAGCACAAAAACAAATATACAAATAATAAAAATAAATGTCATAAATACAAATCTGTTCAAAAAAATTTACGTCATAAAAAATAAAACATATATGGACATTGCAGAACACAGGCGAACAAAGTGAATTATCTCGGTTATTTTAGATTTATTTGAAAAACGGTAAAGAGAAAATATGTTTCTTTTATCGAGATCTACCAGCCCTAAAAATATTTACACTTATTTAAGACTCACCCTGTATATAGGAGCCACAGATGCTCAATGCATTATCGCTGGACCCTGTAGGACAGTAACAAATATTTGCCAAGTACAAGAGTTGTCAGAGCCCGGCTAAAGATAGTATACTTGCCAAGTATACGAGTTTGATACATAATAATGTCAAAGATTAAGGATTTATATTCTATATTACTTTTTGATCTTGTTTAATTATTTAGGTCACAATAGTCCCTTTTGGTCGCATTGATAAAGTATTTCCAATGTTAATCTCGTTTATTAAAAATAGTGGTTAAAATAGAATAATTTTTGCTATACAAGTTAATATTTTAATGTTTAATGTTCTAAAGTTAGTTGTAAAGCTAGTTAAAAATTTGTAAAACTTTTTTTTGCAAAGAACCCTAAAGGAAACTAATGACTAAAACTCATGGTTGTATAAAGGAGGGTCCACATTTAGTAACATGTTATATAACATTGCTATTTAACAAGCTACATGTAACATGTTAAAAAACCGGGAGCCGTCCACATTATAGTTTTCGTAGTCATGAATCGTTTTGGCGAGAAAGAGGTTCAGCTCGCAGCAGCGGCGTGCGTAATTATTTTTGAACTAAGGGAAAGAAAGTCGAGAAAAAAAGAGGGTTTGAGTCCGCCATAGCCTACCAGCAAGATCTAGATATACAGTTGAACTCAATTAGCATATCTTTTCAATACTTGCCTCGGCTGTTTCTCGTGGTGTCGTCTGTCTTTTAAAAACATTAATAATTTACAGTACGTCTCGTCTCCTGGATCTGTGTCTATGAAAGGAATGCGGACAAAAAACATTTAAATAAACAGCAATATATTCTATACGTCGATTTGACGAGTGCGTCACCGCAAATCGCTCCGCCCACTCATTTTATTGGCTACTTGCAAATTTGTCGAATTTTTATTGATGGGACGCGTCGTCTATTTTTTACGAAAAACATCGAGAGAATATCGTTTCCCCTCTCACGGATACCCCGTAGCTACAGAACGAACAGAGGTACTGTAAAAGCAAAAGCAAACCATTTTGAATTATCCACTTCATCTAAACCATGCAGTTCCTTATTTGCATTTCTTTTGTTCCCGCTGGAACTGGCCTATTAGATTACGCATTTTTTCTCAACTTTTTCTGTTTCCAAATCCATACTATGAAATGAAAATCGCTGTCATTTTATATGGAAAATTATATGGGGAATGTCATCGATCGTCATGTCCAAGCCAACTGGACGGGAGGCCGACGGGAGCAGTTTTTTTTCGATCATATGGTATTATTGACCAGTAAATAAACAAACCAATATCAGCTCACCACACTAAGATTCTGTCGCGCACGTCCCTGAAAATATGAGCGGCTAAACTAGAAATTTAGCAAGTGTGGACGCGTTGTTTCATGTTACAATAGCAATGTTGCACAACATCTTTTGATCTTTACCGACTACAAATGGATAACATCTAGCAAGTTATATAGCATCGAAATTTGCTAAATATAACTAAAAAATATGTAACATGTTATATAACTTTGCTATATAGCAGTGTTATATAGCAAGTGTGGACCGTCCTTAAGAATATGAAAAACGGAACGCTATGAAAATTATTAAATAATAAAAAAAAATGATTATCAAAATCCAAGCATCTATCCGCTATTTGCAACTGACTATCCAGTCGACACAAAGTTGCACGAATAAGTTTTGATAATCTGCTATTTGTAACACGGTGTTGCTAAAATTCTAATTATTTTACTTATTTTTTCAGGTACTGTCTTTCTTCTTGATATACTTCTCGTACCACAGCAAATACCTCCTGTACATTTCAAGAATCCTTGGAGGCATGGGGGAAGGTGGTGCTCTAGCCTTACTCCCATGCTACATAGCCGAGGTAGCTGAACCGTCAGTGCGAGGAACATTAGGCACCTTTGTCAACTTGCTTTTGCTCTTTGGTCAGCTATTCATCAACACAGTGGGCTCTTTTCTCACCATTCACGAGACCGCTATCATTTGTTTAATATTTCCTGTGATATTTTGGACTTTATTCATACACATGCCCGAAAGTCCTTACTACTGTTTAATGAATAAAGATCTCGAAGGTGCCAGGAAGGCGTTACAAGTATTGAGGAGAAAGAAGAACGTGGATAAAGAAGTGTTACAGTTGTCTTCAGACGTTGACCGCCAGATGTCCGAGAAAGGATCTTACAAAGACTTGTTTTGCATCAAATCGAACAGGAAGGCTTTCTTACTAGTTTGCGCTACACGAAATTTCCAGGTTTTTACCGGAAGTATTGCATTAATGTCCTATGTTCAAATAATGATTTCTGACGCCACAGACCTATCACCTGTTATGGGCTCCACTGTCTTGATTATAGCCGGGGTGGTGATGGTAGTGATAGCCTCAGTTTACGTAGATAAGTTTGGTAGAAAACCGACACTAGCAATTTCCTCCTTATTTACTGCTCTAACCCTCCTAGCTCAAGCTGTATTTCTGTCTATACGCGACTACACTGACATAGATGTTTCATCACTCTCTTGGCTACCCCTTTTAATAATGACCTTCAACAACTTGGCTTTTAGAGGCGGGTTAGGAGTGGTAACTAACATTTTTATCAGTGAAATTTATTCGACAAGTATTAAAGCCAAAGCCATGAGTCTGGGCAGTCTTAATTTTGCAATTGTCATGATTATCAGTACGAAATTGTATCAATTGACAGCTGATTATGTCGGATTGGCAGTACCTTTTTACATATTTGCTATTACTACGTTTATAGGCAGTGTATTTTTCTATTTTGTTCTACCAGAAACTAAAGGTAAAACACTGGAAACAATACAACAGGAGTTAAAAGGGAATGTAACAAATGAAACTAAAACGGAAAATACAGACCCTATATAATAATTTTTTGATAATAGTATTTTTTAGACTAAAGTCAGTGTGCCATCGACATATCAAAAATAGCGAATGAAATAAATATATTTGCGTAATTTATTTATTATTTGCTTTTATAAGTATTAATGAGGTATATTAATATTTAATAATAATCAATAATTAATTAATAATAAGTAATCTCTTGTCAACTGTGATAGTAATGTTTCTTTTAGTATGTATGTGTTTCTTTTAGTATTGACTTTGCATTAAGTATAGTTTTTTATGTAAAATAAATATTTATATAAAAATTAGTTTATTTTTATTGTGTAAAATTATAAATTAGAGAAGAAAATGCGAAAAAAAATAATTAAAAAAAGAAAGTATTGCTTGTGTGGTATTCCATTAATGTCTCTAGCCACAAACTTATCACCTGTTTCACGGTTTTGATCACAGATGATGGTAGTGATAGCCTCAGTTTACCTGGATAATTTTGGTAGAAAACCGACCGATTTCCTCTACGGCTCTCCTCTCTATTCCATGGGTCTAAAATGGTGATAAATGAGGTCTAGATTATAAGAAAATGCATTTTCTACGAAAACTTGAAGAAATAGGTAAGAGATGGTTACAATTTGATAGACAATTAAACTGTGCATCTGATTCACGTAAAATATACAGGGTGTTCCATTTAAATTAAACAAGTTATTGCCGTTTAAAGCTAGTAATTATTTAATATAAATTTTTGGACACTCTGTATAAAGTAGTATACGTTTTATTATTGCAACACCAATATGTGATCAATAAATAATCTTCAGTAAATATTTTGTATTAAAATCTTTAATACCCTTGGAGAAATGAAGCCTTAATTTTTTTACTGCAATTTCACAAAACTGAAAATAGGTATTTAAAAAACGGTAAGGTTTAATTATGATAAACCTTAATCAAATTTACCTTTATTTCAATCGTAGAAACTAAAAATAGAATAATATACAGAGTGTTCCATTTAAAAAAATATAACTATAATATTTTTGACTTATTTGGGACACTCTGTATCTTGTAAAATTATTTTAGAGTTGTAACTCTAATAGTCCTTCAACGAACCCAAAACTTACAATTTGTAAAAATCTAATTACAATACCCCTTGTCGTTTGTGGTGAATAACCCTGTATAGTTAGATGGAGAATTAAAAAATCAATATTTTTCATATTTAAATTATTTCAAAATTTTTAACGGTTTCGCAAATATTCGCGTTTTTATATATGGCTCTTTCAACTAAATTTAAATTTCAACTTTCGATTAAATAGATACCAGATCGATATTGTCACAAGATACAAATCACTGGTTCTATATAAACATCTAACCTACCATGACCGTGAATCACCCTGTATATTATACATTATCACTAGAATAACAAGTAAAGCATAGCTACTGTTAAACCACGAGAAATGTGCTGACTCATTTTAAAGATAGAAAAATTACCAAATAAGGTAAAGATACTGTAAAGTAGTGACATATCTTTATTTCTTTAAATATTTAACATCTTTACTATTTAGGTATTAAAAATATCATTGCTTTGTAAATATAAAAATATTAAGATATGCTCTTACCTTGTCATTCTGTACAATTAATATACAAAATTTTAAAGATAATTTTGATATCGATTATATGAAAATTGGCTAGACTAAAAAATACGAAATTTGTTAAACATGTTTACCGTATATTCAACATAATCTTAATAAATCTACAAGCTCTAAAATTCGTTTGTTGTTTTTACAAACTAATATTAGTGTAAATTTATCTTTAATTAAATAATATATACCTACATATTTAGTAAGGAAACGCGTTTTTCGAATGTGGTAGACAAATATTCATTATAGAATGTTCAGCCATCGTTCACCGCTTGTTCACCGTCACGTCATTTGCGTCATATATTGTCTAACTCTCTTAATCACTTGATCACCAGATGAAAGAGATTAGTGACGTTATTATGGAATTTCGTAAATTACTGCATATTTCTTCTTAGTTTGTTAGGTTGGTCCAGGGGCAAAACATGATAAGCGCCATTTTACTAATTTTACAGGAGAGCACTGGACGTACAGGGTGACATTTTGAAAACGAACAGTATTTAATATTACCTCTACCTATGGTAGTATGAAAATTTGGCGAAATACGTCAATTTACATATCAAGGGGGACAATTTTTGAGGCATTTGTTGTCGTGTTACTTTCAACCCTTTGACCCCCAGGGCACCTAACCCTAAAATTTTAAATGGCAAGCCCTATTTCTTTTACCATTTTTGTGTTCATTATAAAATTCTCAAAAACATAATGCAGTTTATGTAGAATTCTATAAGAAACACAAAAATGTTAAAAGAAATATAGGGGCTGGAATATAACGGCTAGAAATATAAGTAAATTAACATGTTTCTCGCCAAATTTTCATACTATCATCGGTAGAGGCAATATTAAATACTGTTCGTTTTTAAATTGTCACCCTGTATATTTTTATTAGGCACATACAGGGTGGTCCGAACTGTATTTCGGAAACTTCGGCAGCATATTCTGCAGATAAAAATAAGTAAAAAAGTTCGTATAAATATATGTCCGAAAATGCTTAGTTTCGGAGATACCGGGTGTAGAAGTTTCAATTTTATCCAAATAATTTCTGAAGTAACATCAATATTTGGATGAAAATTGGCGTCTGGGACTTTTTTGACATGAGAAATTTGATTTTGATGTCAATATAACTCCTATTATACAGGGCGCCACTTTCATGAGTTTTCACCTTGTTTTCACCTTGTTTTCACCTTGTTTTCACCTTGTTTTTACCTTGTTTACACTGTTTTGAAATGTAATAACTTTTCGTCCGTACTTGTATAAAATTACTGATTAAAAAATATACATTTCCGTGTTTTTTAACGTAAAAAATGTCTCTTGGTAAAAATCGCTACGAGCAAAGGTTCTCAAGATATTTAGGATCGAAATAATCAATACATGTCATTATTGACAAAAAATTAATAATTAATTAATGATTAATTATTGACAAAAAATAAACATATTGAGTTGATAGTTATTTGACTGAAATGATAAATTTGGTATATTTTTATTTTTTTAAATTAATCATAAATTTTTCTTCGAAAAATGATGATAAAAACAGTTTATGTTGAACTATTGGCACAAAAATATTTTTTGTGCCAAATTAAATCAAATTTTTGATTTCAGTCTAATAACTTAACGAGTCGACATGTTTAATTTATGTCAATGCTGACAGGTATTGAAAATTTTGATTTAGTGATTATTTTTACGAAGATACCTTTTTTACGTAAAAAAACGTTGTAAATGTATATTTTTTTACTCAGTAGCTTTATACAGGTACGGACGAAAAGTTATTACTCTTCAAACCAGTTAAAATTTTAGTTAAAAACTATGTAGGTGGTGCCCTCTACAAGTAGGAGTCATATTGACATTAAAATCAAATTTCTCAAGCCAAAAAACTCTCAGACTCTCAATCAAAATAAAAAATCTCAATATTTGGTTTTAAAAATCTCAAATATTGATGTTATTTCAGAAATTATTTGTAAAAAATCAAAATCAAATTGACTTTCTACCCTCTGTATCTCAGAAAATAAGCATTTTAGGACATACATTTATACGATCTTTTTTCCTTATTTTTATCTGCTGAATACGCTGGCGAAGTTTCCGGAATACAGCGTACAACCCTGTATAATAGGATTTAACAACTTATTAGTTTGACCAGTTAGACCTTCTATAATATTATTGTAAAACCCTAAAATTAAGAAATGGCCCTTATCAGGTTTTCACCCTCGACTCTTCAATTGTCATTATCATTTATGATTTGAGATTATAATTTTATTGACAGACATCGATCAATGTCACAATTTCCTTTTAATAATTGTCATTTGCTTTCGGATTAAAATTTTATTGACCGAAATCATAGACTAATGTCATGTGCTAGAGATAGATTGGACACTGATATAAAACAAATGGGTCTGTCATTTAGAGCCACCTGGTGATCAGGAAGAAACTATTGGAGAGTTTTGGCATAACATAATTTTAGTGTTCCTTATTAACGCTAACTAAAATGGTAACGTTAATCAAGCGCAAAATTATTTCTTGTAAAATATAAAATAATAAATATGGACTTTTCTACTGCATTTTATTTTTTATTAGATCATTAGAAGTGTAACATAATCAAAATAAAATTATGAATATATTTTAAACACCAACAATAGAGCACATAGCGCCTATTTTTTTGATTTAACAAATAAATTATATAATAATAATAGCTCCCGAATATAGCGTTTAACGCCTTGGGAGTAGCAAGGTACAGCTTGCCATACTAGAGCCGTTCGGTATACAAGGAAGGTAATGTGGCTAGCACTACGTTTCAACCCCCTATTATTACCTCAGGATTGTGAATCCCAAGTACTCATTTAAGGCTGAGTCGACCTAGGTACCTACCCAAACTGTGGCGAGTGTGGGATTCGAACCAACTACCTTGAGATTGGTAGACGAGAGCCTGTACCTCTACGCCACCGAGCACCTTACAAATAAATTATAATATAGTAAAAATATTGTAGACTACTAATTAACATATAGTAAAAATATTGTAGACTACTAATTAACTGTTACTAAAAATACTATATATTATCAACAAAATTTGTTCATAATTTCATAAATTTATCATTTCTAATATGTCAAAATGACTTTAATAAAAAAGTTTAGTATCTAACACGAAAATGATCGACTGTAAATATCAGAATGCACAAACTAATAAAAACACAAACTATAAACACAAATCAGGAATATCTCGATCACCAACATTTTGTCAACTAGACATACAAAAACTAGGCCATAGACAGTAGTCAGCATAGAGACTGTCATGCCATTTTCATATATACATTAGAAACCTGTACTTTAATGTCTTCTGCGCCGTCTGGCGATGCGGAAGAAACTAAATTTGTAGTTCTTTAAAATTACCATTGAGTGTCTAGGGTCTTGCCCGTAGACGCAGTATATGAAGTAAGTACAAATGCGAAGGTGTAATATTCCTGTGTAAAATACAAATTTCTAGCGTTTTTAAATAATATAGGGAGTTGCAGAAACGTACTTAAAGAGAATTAAGAATTTACAACAATGATAATGCCCACATTGGAGCGTTTTATAAATGGTTGCCTTGTTGCGAAAATTTCTATACTTAGATTGCTAAAGATGTTATTATTGCTAGATATAAATAATGCTTTTTTTAATTTACGCTTTTTTAAATCAGGCTCCTTGTAAAGAACCTAAGCTTCCTACCTTTTTATGTTCAGCAGCTTGGACCGCACATGGTCTGCGATACCTGTCTTCATTGTTTCATCTTTTTACGTGTGTATTTTATGTTCATTACCTCCTACATTTGGAGGATGTTTTGTCTATCCAATGTACGACTCACCGCACTTACAAGGCACCTCGTAGATGCACTTTCTCTAGCTTTGATGATTCTGGTTTTGTTTTTGTTAAGATGCTTCTTAGGCTAGTGCCAGCAGAGATAAACAAATGCAAGTACAAGACGAAGGCTCTCTCGGTCTTGGTCATGCAGCTAATAAGTATAGGTTTGGTCTTGGTCTTACCAGGCCCAGTATTGGTCTTAGCCTTGGTCTAGCTTTTAAATAAATATTGCGTGCTTGTTCTTGACCTTTCTTTTGCAAATCAAACCCTAGTCTTGATCTTGCTTTCTCTGCAAGTCCCAAACCAAACCCAAACCAAGAACAGTTTTAATTATCCAAACAGAATAAAATTACGAAAAATAATTTCCTAAATTCTTTGAACTGTTGTTTACACCCTATATTAAAAAGATTATATGATGTATTTCTTCTGGAAGGATGCACAATCTCGATTATAATTCTGTTTAAGAAGATAATAAAGAAAAAGATAACTTGAGTTCAGTGTTATTACGTGAAAACAACGTGGTACAGTGACTCGATAACAAAGGTTTATGTTTGGATGATTAAACAAAATTTCTCCTTATATGATCATGAAATGTATAAAAATGGTTAATTACATCTTGGCAAACTAACTATTAACAAGTCGTAATTGCACATTAACTAAATTCGGGATTTTTAAAGCCAAGTTGTTACATATTTTACAAAAATTCGTTTTCCAAGAAGATAACATGAAATCATTTGTGGATAAATGTCTACGCAAGAATGATGAAAAATACATGACCCAGTATTTAGCTGCTCTAACAGGTCAGTTAAACATTTTTTAGGATTTTTAACAAAAATAAATTTATATACAGAGTGAGTCTTATTTAGGTGCAAATATTTTAGAGCTGGAAGATCTCGATAAAAGAAAGATTACCGTTTTTCAAATAAGTCCAAAATTACCAAATTATTTTATTGTGAAAATTAAAAAAACCTGTAGACATGTTTCTCTGGTCGAAATATACCACCCCTAAAATATTTGCACTTATTAAGACTCACCCTGTATAACTTTGTTTTAAATCCGTTTCAACTTAGTTAAATAACTTGTACAGGTAACATTTTACAAATTATTTCTCTTCATATTCATTTGTGGTGTTTGTCACTGATAGAACCTAAATAATACCACAGATAAAACATAGTAATAATGTTATCTGTGATAATACGTGTATTACTAATACAGTGATTGACATATTTAATTCTATTCTCAATCAATAAGAGTTTTCACCTTGTTTTCACTGTTTTGAAAAGTAATAGCTTTTCGTCTGTACCTGTATAAAATTACTGATTAAAAAATATACAGTTTCCTGATTTTTTAGGTAAAAAATGTCTCTTGGTAAAAATCGCTACGAGCAACGGTTCTCAAGATATTTAAGATCGAAATAGTCAATATATGTCATTATTGACAAAAAATAAACATATTGAGTTGATAGTTATTTGACTGAAATGATAAATTTGTGAACTTTTTATTTTTTTAAATTAATCATAAATTTTTCCTCGCAAAATGATGATAAAACAGTTTCTGTTGAACTTTTGGCACAAAAATATTACAAATTTTTGATTTCAGTCGAATAACTCGTTAAGTCAACATAGTTTATGTCAATGCTGACAGGTATTGAAAATTTCGATTTAGTGATTATTTTTTACCCTGATACCTTTTCTACGTAAAAAACGTCGTAAATGTATATTTTTTTTGCTCAGTAGCTTTATACAGGTACGGACGAAAAGTTATTACTCTTCAAATCAGTTAAAATTTAGTTAAAAAATATGTAGGTGGCGCCCTCTACAAGTAGGAGTCACATTAGCCTCAAAATCAAATTTCTCATGCCAAAAAGTCTCAGACACCAATTTTCATCCAAATATTGATGTTATTTCAGGAATTATTTGTAAAAAATCGAAATAAAATTGACTTTCTATACACCCTGTATCTCAGAAAATAAGCATTTTAGAACATACATTTATACAATCTTTTTTACTTATTTTTATCTGCTGAATACGCTAGCAAGGTTTTCGGAATACAGTTCCGACAACCCTGTATAATAAGATTTAACAACTTATTACCATGTAGGATTTATACATTTTGTAGGGACCAGTTAGACTTTCTATATAATAGGTGTGTTCTCAGAAGAATCCCTGACTAGTCAGCGCGTTTTTTATTTGTTGAAATGTGTAGAAACCAGACTAACAATCAGGTTTCTACGCATTGTAACTAGCGATGGGAACTATCGAATGAATTAGACTATCGAATGGTTTCTGAATGAATGATTTCAACTATCGAATGGTTTTATTCGAATAAAATCATTCATTCATTTGTATACTAAAGCATATGTGACAACCTCGCCGTGCGACTAAATGGTTATCGTTGAGCCACGACTATCGAATGCTTTTGGTAAATGAAATTTAGTATTCGTTTGATTTTTGTGTGCGTCAGTGCATTATTAGTTCTTCCAAATTTTTATAACTTCGCCGTATAAATACTGTGCTATTCTTGCGTTTATTAAAATATTTAAAATACTAAAATGGTATTTTTTTTTAAATTTTATTTATTGACGATTGTGTGCATGTGCAGGTGGTAAAATACACTATGTATGTATGTATGTATGTATGCAGGTGGTCAAAATTTTTCCGAAAATTTGTGTGGTTTTCCGTAGTCCGATCTTTCAATTATTTAATTTTATATGGTATATGGTCTATTTTTTAATGGGAAATTTTGAGAAGTAGTAATTTTTAAGAGAGATGAGATGAACTTACAATTAATTTTAAAAATACATATTTGTATTTGAGATGTTTTAATAATATGAATTAGTTGAACTTAATAATAATCATATTTAAGTAATGTGGTAATGGTTATCGAACTCAAACTATGGGGTGAGAAAATTAAAATAAAAGTTTTACACCTGCCAATTTAAAAAAAAGGTTAACAATGTTTGTATTTTGTTTATGCTAATTCTCTTACATGTAGTTTTTTGCGAAGAAATATTTCATTTATTTTTTAAAGTAAATGCCAGTAAAAGTAAATATAATTTTTAAATAGTAATATAAGGCACCTAATATAAATAATTTTGATTTCTAATTTTTTATTTATATTTTCCTTCCATTACATTGCTATGTAGAAAATTAATAAATGTTTATATTTCATGATTTTAAAATTTGTTGTTAATATAACAAATTAGTTCTGTAATTATTATTATTTAATAAACCAACGTTGCCAAAAAATTTAGAGACTATATTATTTTTAAATATTTAAATAGGATCTAATATAAATTATTTTGACATCTAATTTGTTGTTTATATTTTGCTACTACTTAAAATAATGTTTATATTAAATGATTTTAAATTTTGTTGTTAATAGGTATAACAAATTATTACTGTTATTATTATTTATTAAACCAGTCTTTGCTTAAAAACATTAAAAATCATTTTCCTACATCCAAAATAATAAGTATTATTGCAGTGTAACAACAGAATATTAATAAAAAAAATGCAGAATATATAGACATACTATCCCTAACTAACTAAAGCCAAACAATAATATTCTTTGCTAATATCAACTAATACCAAAATATGGCAACAGCGCCCTTCATTATGTATTTCCTGTGTAAATACTAGCACCTCAATAAAAAAATAATGTGTCCTTATTTTTATCTGACTCCGCAAAAAATCAAAGATGCCGGCTTCTTTCATAGCATTGCCACCGACCGCTGTCGGGTTTCTCGGAAAGAAACCTACGTCGCCGGGCGACAAGTAAAATTCAGTTAATATTTTATTATAATCGATCCTGACGATTAAATGAATTTCATAAATGAATGAATTTTATAAATGAATGGTTTTTGCTGCCGAATTACTACAATACAATGTTGCAAAGCAGATGACGGATCTATTCGATAATTTTTATTCGAATAGTTTTCAACGAATGTTTTCTAACTATCAAATTATTTGAATGAATTCCAACTCTCGAATGTTTCGATAGTATTCATTCGATAGTTCCCACTACTAATTGTAACCATTAAAAAACGTGCTGACTAGTCAGGGATTCTTCTGAGAACAGACCTAATATTCTAAAACCCTCGGTAAAACCCTAAAATTAAAAAATTGGCGCTTATCAAGTTTATCAAGATTTGAGATTATAATTTTATTGACAGACATCGATCAATGTCATAATTTCCTTATAATAATTGTTATTTGCTTTCGGATTATAATTGTATTGACCGACATAAATAGATTGGACACTGATATAAAACAAATGGGTCCGTCATTTAGAGCCACCTGGTGATGCGGAAGAAACTAATGAAGAGTTTTGGCATAACATATTTTTAACGCTCCGTTACCTATTAACGCTAACTAAAACGGTAACGTTATTCAAGCGCAAAATTATTCCTTGTAAAATAAAAAAAATCCTTATAAAATAATAAATATGGACTTTTTTACTGCCATTTTATTTTTTATTAGATCATTAGAAGTGTATAACATAGTCAAAACAAAATTAAAATTATGAATACATGCATTTTAAATACCAACAATAGAACACATAGCGCCTATTTTTTTGATTTAACAAATAAATTATACTATAGTAAAAATATTGTAGACTAATAATTAGCTATTACTAGAAATACTATATATTACCAAATATGTACTTATTTATTTATGACATAGGATTAAATTATTTTTTTAGTTTCTTCATAAATTTATAATTTCTAAAATGTCAGAATGACTTTAATAAAAAAAATAGTATCTAACACAAAAATGATGATCGACTGTAAATATCAGAATGCACAAACTAATAAAAACACAAACTATAAATACAAATCACTGAAATCCCCGAACTTTCCGACAAATCAGGAATATCTGGATCACCAACATTTTGTCAACTAGACAAAAACTAGACCATAAACTCTGCCATAGGCAGTATAGAGACTGTCATGCCATCTTCATATATATATAAATTAGAAACCTGTACTTTAAAGTCTTTTGGGCCGTATGGGGTTGCGGAAGAAACTATATTTGTAGTTCTATAAATGAAGAACAAATGCGAAGGTGTAATATTCCTGTGTAAAATACAAACAGCTAGCGTTTTTAAATAATATAGCGAGTTGCAGAAACGTACTTAAAGAGAATTAAGAGTTTACAACAATGATAACGCCCACATTGGAGCATTTTATAAGTGGTTGCCTTGTTTTGAAAATTTCTATACTTGGATTGCTAAACTTGTTATTATTCCTAGATATCAATAATGCTTTTTTTAATTTACGCTTTTTTAAATTAGGCTTCATGTAAAGAACCTGAGCATCCTACCTTTTTATGTTGAGTAGCTTGGACCGCACATGGTCTGCAATACCCGTCTTAATTATCTCATATTTTTACGTGTGTATTTTATGTTCATTACCTCCTACATTTGGAGGACGTTTTGTTTATCCAATGTGCGACTCACCGCACTTACAAGGCACCTTGTAGATGCACTTTCTCTAGCTATGATGATTCTGGTTTTGTTTTTGTTAAGATGCTTCTTAGGTTAGTGCCAGTAGAGATAAACAAATGCAAGAACAAGACGAAGGCTCTCTCGGTCTTGGTCATGCAGCTAATAAGTATAGGTTTGGTCTTGGTCTTACAAGGCCCAGTCTTGGTCTTAGCCTTGGTCTAGCTTTTGAACAGATATTGCGTGCTTGAGCTTGACCTTTCTCTTGCAAATCAAACCCTAGTCTTGATCTTGCTTTCTCTGTAAGTCCAAAACCAAACCCAAACCAAGAACAGTTTTAATTATCCAAACAGAATAAAATTACGAAAAATAATTTCCTAAATTCTTTGAACTGTTGTTTACACCCTATATTAAAAAGACTATATGATGTATTTCTTCTGGAAGGATGCACAATCTCGATTATAATTCTGTTTAAGAAGATAATAAAGAAAAAGATAACTTGAGTTCAGTGTTATTACGTGAAAACAACGTGGTACAGTGACTCGATAACAAAGGTTTATGTTTGGATGATTAAACAAAATTTCTCCTTATATGATCATGAAATGTATAAAAATGGTTAATTACATCTTGGCAAACTAACTATTAACAAGTCGTAATTGCACATTAACTAAATTCGGGATTTTTAAAGCCAAGTTGTTACATATTTTACAAAAATTCGTTTTCCAAGAAGATAAAATGAAATCATTTGTGGATAAATGTCTACGCAAGAATGATGAAAAATACATGACCCAGTATTTAGCTGCTCTAACAGGTCAGTTAAACATTTTTTAGGATTTTTAACAAAAATAAATTTATATACAGAGTGAGTCTTAATTAGGTGCAAATATTTTAGAGCTGGAAGATCTCGATAAAAGAAAGATTACCGTTTTTCAAATAAGTCCAAAATTACCAAATTATTTTATTGTGAAAATTAAAAAAACCTGTAAACATGTTTCTCTGGTCGAAATATACCACCCCTAAAATATTTGCACTTATTAAGACTCACCCTGTATAACTCTGTTTTAAATCCGTTTCAACTTAGTTAAATAATTTGTATAGGTAACATTTTACAAATTATTTCTCTTCATATTCATTTGTGGTGTTTGTCACTGATAGAACCTAAATAATACCACAGATAAAAAATAGTAATAATGTTATCTGTGATAATACGTGTATTACTAATACAGTGATTGACATATTTAATTCTATTCTCAATAATTTTATTAACTAATATAATTAATCATTAGTCAAGTTAATATTTGTCAACCAATTTCCAGTACTATAACTATTAACAATTTTTTTTCTGGAATTGTAAAAGTTTGTATCACTATGATCTAGAATCACCCATATTCAAGTATACAATTTCTGTTAGACAAAATGAAGGTAGACAAACTTAAACTACAATAAACTTTGTTTGTATAAATAAAACATAATAAGGCGTCATATCGTCTACCCATTCTATTTACATACATATTAACATTCAGAATTTTATTTATTTTAAAATTTCTTTTAAGCTCTATACTTAATATCAAGTATTAGGTATTGATATTTTTCAATTTTATTTTGATTATTTCGAATCGTTTCAGCATCCATGACATATTTCACTGTCGGCGCGTATCAAGGTTGGACATCACCCTCTCTTATCAAAATTCTGTCAGATGAATATCCCTTAGATGTCAATCAGGAAGAAGCTTCAATAGTGGCTACTATTGGTTCAGTAGGCCACATCATGGGAGGATTTTTGGCATCTTATTTACTAGATGTAATTGGACGAAAATCAACCATAATGTCCATTGGTATACCACAGGTAATATTAGAAAAAAATTATTATAATCATTGACTTCACTACTTTATAAGTATTAAAGAGTTGTTGAAGCTTTTCAGTGTTAGTCCTCCGAATGTTAAACTTGGGATAAAATTGAATAACAAAAAGTAGGTAGTTTGACTTTTAGCCCGATAAGTAGAAAATTAACTATACCGCTGGATTCTTTCAAAATTGTTCTAATTTATACCGGGTGCGTCTCAAAAGTGGCTCACCTCTATAACTTTTTTATTTTTCCAGATAAAAAATGAGATTTGGTATGTTAGTATATGTATATGACATAAATTAGAATTCTGATTAGAGTCTCTGATCACTTCCTGTTTCACCGGAAATTACTACAATTTTTGATTTTACCCTCGGTATTTTTTTGCTTTATTCGATAGAAAATGGCACTCTGAATAGAATGACATATAATATGTCAATTTTTGACATTTTCGCATATGGTTTATTTTTGGTTTATTTGAAATTGTAACAAGTGATACATAATGACAATTTGACTCGAAATACCAAGTGTGTGGTACCAAATTATTCGTAAACAAATGCTTTTTCCAAATATGCTAATGAGCGACCCTTATTCTATTTGAAATAATTGAAATATGATTAAAAATACGATTTAGGCGTTCAGGACAAGACATGAAAAACACAAAACGATCAAATCTATTTTTCCAAGGCTCCTTGATTAAAAATTAGTATTATTAACACAGCCATGGTACTCTAGATTGAAATTTAAAATACGATTTGTTTTTAAGCGAAAATGTCAAAAGTTGACATATGATATGTCATTCTATTCAGAGTGTCATTTTCTATCCAATAAAGTAAAAATATACCGAGGGAGTCATTTAAAAATTAAAAGTTGAAGTCATTTCCGGTGAAACAGGAAGTGATCGAAAACAGTTAAATACGTTAATCAATCCCAATTTATGTATGCACCCGGTTTACTCTGCGACACAAAATTCCGGCACTCTAAAAATTTGACTAAGTTTGATATTTCATCACCAGGTGACATATTTCAACATGTGTTTAAAAACATAAATATCCCTAGATTTCATTGCCAATTTCATTATTATATGAACTATGTAAATAAAAGACGCCTTTGTGTGTAACTCATAAAAGAATAGAGATAATAGGATAATATTCAAAAAATAAAATGTTTGGAATTCATCTAAGATTATACAGGAAAGTGTTTTTTTAAGAGGTATGCTAGAATTTAAATTTGAAATTTAAGGTTAACCAAAAACACATTTTGGTTGGTGGAGAGTCTGAAATTAGGCATTACCAAAGGCATTACCAACGTAAAATTATTTAACTTCTTTTATAATCTGCAGTATAAAAAAAATGATTAATGAATGAAATTATGATTTGATAAAAGTTTTAAGTTTGGTCTCTTTCTTGCTATTAGTGCGTCTCCTTTTTGCTAGTATGTCTCCTTTTTGCTACTAGTGCTAATCTGGATAGGCCCTACATTATCTACGCCGAATCTGTATCGCTGTTTTCTATCTGATCTGATCCGGCCTCTAACCGCCATGAATGAGCAGCGAGTGCGATGAGATAGATGTTGACAAAGACCTTGGACAAAGACCACAAATGTATAGACATTTACCTTGACTATACCTATATGTATAATTAAGGTAAGTAACCTTTGTTTACTCAAAGGTTACTTACTATGTTTACCTCTAACGGAATATAAAACCACAATAATTATAGGAAATAGATAAAAAAAATAAATAATATAAAAAAAATGTTAATCAAAATAAGAGTATCAGATAGAATTAAAATAAATATACATAAGGTTGTGAATTATTAGATTTTTTCAAACTGGTTCAAGTACACTTCGATGCTGCCATGTAAGCATATGTAAGTATACTTATTCGGATGGTGCCCGCGTCTCATTTGTACGCTTGTGAGTAACATCCAAGTAAGTTGGCAGTAAGTCTACATGCTTGGATGTTATGAAGCTGAGCAACTCAACTTGGATGAAACATTTTATACCATACAGACACCGTACAAGTGAGACGCGCGCAACATCCATGTAGGTATATTTATATGTCAATTAGTGCAACATCCAAGTGAATCTGATTCAAGTATACTTGTACCGGTCAACAGGGCTTTTAAGTTTTTTTTCAATAGTAAGTAATAGTTTTGTGTCAAAGTTTTATGTTAGTAAATAAATTATTATTTTTTTAAAATTCTTAGTGACAACCTTCCAATTGCTGTCCTCCATTCGCGAACTTCGAGTTCCGGGCTTTACGCCCTGGGGTTACTCGAGAACGGTTCTGAAAGGAGCTTTGCGCGATAGCCTGGTGCCTCCATATGGCGCGGAATAGTTCTGAACCACAAAATTTCTGAACTTTATGACTCAATTGAATGGAGTGAGAGTATCGCGTTCTTGAACAGTTCAGAGCTGCACAACTGCGTGAATGGAGGACAGTATATATCAACAACAACACGATAACAGATGTAAATTTTTGCTTGGTAAAATACTAGGATCAGTAATATTGAATACAATGTTTTATTAAATTGACTTAGAAAATTAGCACATTCTCTTTATATTAGATATTATTAGATGTTACATACCTATTGTAATCGCAAAACATTTTCCGATGTACGTCATCAATCATATGACATTGACATTAACATTGTCATTGACATTAAAGTCTATAAACCTGACTAACCGAAATTTTGGCAAAAATGTTTAAATTTGTTGTATTATTTAAGATACCGAGCAGCTCTTCATTTTACTTTATAGAGCAAATGATTGTAACAGATATTTTATTTAGATTAAAGCTTCAAAAATTAGTTCAAACCGAATTTTATTATTGCTATATTGGTCACATTGCGCCGAGTTCAGCAATGTTGTCCTTTATTATTTGACAATTATCCTAATGTCAGTCATTATTTTGTATGATATCGTGTTGTTGTTGAATTTTCGATCTTATTTTCGCAGTCTTGTTTAAAAATTGCACTTATAAGCACAAACAGTTCTTTTAAGAACTAAATTTTAGGGTTTTTATATTGAATTTCTTGAAATTGTGTGTTGAAAATATGCCGAAGCATTTAAACAGTCGAAGCAAAGAGCTTGTAGCTTCCCTGATAAACAATTTTAATAACGAGAACGTGACAATAAAGGTCCTTTATTACCTTTGACTGCAGTCAAAGAAGTAAGTTTGATTGATAAGCACATTATACCACTTTGAAAGTTAGTTTTATTAAATTCTGTGATTATTAGTTTGTGGATTAATAACTCTCTTTTACTTGTTATTATCACTTATGGCGTTGGAAGATGTGCATCGATAAATAAATAAATAAATAAATAACCCCATAATAAGGCTTAGAATAATCTTCATAATGGACTAGTTTTTGCCAATATGTAATAAGTAAAATAAGCTATAAAACAAATAAATCAATTAATTACTAGAATATTAGTTATTAAATTAAAAATAAAACGTAAAACTCTTTAAAAAATGATATAAGAAATATATTGTTTACCAATTTTACATTAAGATCCATCTCATAAATCTATTACAATCTGGCAGCGCTGTCGCCATCGCTTGTCACTCAAAGTTGATCACGTGCATCGGAAATTGTTTTGCTTACTTATTGCTTTACTTATGATAATTTTTCTTCTTTTCAGATCATATTTCCAATCTTAATTTACTTCTCACATTATACCAAATACCTTCTATATTTTGGCAGAATAACTGGGGGTATGGGAGAAGGCGCTAGTATAGCTGTAGTAAGTACCTACATAGCTGAAATTGCTGTACCACAAGTAAGAGGTAGCATAGGAGGTTTTACTATTGCCTTGGTTGGATTTGGCACATTGACAATGAACATTGCTGGTAAGAAAGTTACGTTGGTATAATTTGTGATAAGTAGGAAATAATTTTTCAAATTATTTTCAGTCTATCAGAAACACACATTTTCAAATATCACGCATATTTTCTTATAGACTATGCTTATAATAGTTCTCTATTTTTTTATTATTAAAATTGTCGTAAACTCATTATCATTAAATATGTATAGGTAACCAATGTAATCGTAAATGCAATTTTATGTTGTTTAAGATCTGTAATGCGAAATAATCTTATTTTAGGTTCATATTTATCTCTAAAAGAAGGTGCAATTTTCATGCTACTAATTCCTGTGATTTTCTGGATCTGCTTCATTTTTATGCCTGAAAGTCCTTATTATTATATAATAAAAAACAAGCCTGACAAAGCAAGGGAGAGTTTGAAGGTAACTATTTAAATTAACTACATTTATTAATTAGTCTGAATATTAAAGCTTCAAAATATTTGGACTAATAATATACAGGGTGTAATAAATAGTATACAAACAGTAGTCAGTAGGTGATACAATAGACGAAAATAAAAGAAAAAGTTCCTATAAACATATCTCCTCTAAGATGCTTCCTGAGGAAGTTATTTACTAGCTTTTCAAATCCTTTACACCTTTACAGTTCTCATTTGGACTATTTCTTGCCAAGTTTTAGGGCATATCCGATATGTAACTACATTGTTAATTATATATAAATATTGGTTATGACATATCAAAATCAAATTTCTCATGTCAAAAAACTCCCAGACACCAATTTTCATCCAAATATTGACATTACTTTATTACAGAAATTTTTTGGAAAAAATAATAATAAAAATGAAATTTCTACACCCTGTATCTCCGAAACTAAGCATTTTTAGACATACATTATAGGAACTTTTTTACTTATTTTTATATGCAGAATATGCTGCCGAAGTTTCCGGAATACAATTCTGACCACCCTGTATATTAGATATTATTTTTATCTATCCTTTCAAGAGGGTTTCAACTTCTTCAAGAACCATCTTAGGGCACATGTTTATAGAAACATTTTCTTATATATTTTTCTATAGTATCACCCACTTAAGTTTGCATACACTAAATTACTAACTTACTACAAATATTACTAAACTTATTACTTTTACACTATCTTAATATTAGATTTTGAAAACTTAATTTTTCTGACAATATTGTTATCTTTTTTCAGATATTAAGAAGAAAATTTGACGTTGAAAAAGAACTGAGCCAATTGACAATCGACATACAAAAACAAATGGCGGAAAGGGGTACCTTCAGAGACCTGATCTACGTACCCCTTAACAGATACATAATGTTTTTAGTAACTGCCATGAGAGTTTTTCAGCTTTTCACGGGTTATAATGCTTTCACTTTCTACAGTCAGATCATGATATCACAAACTACTAATTTATCACCAGTGATGGGCTCGTCACTGTTATTATTAGGTGGTGTGATAATACTGCTAATAGGAACACTGTATGTTGATAAAATTGGTCGGAGGCCTCTGTTCTTAATTTCCATGGTTTTGTCATTTATAGCCCTTATATCCATGGCTGTGTTTTTAGCTGTACGTGACTATACACCAATAGACCTATCGGGTGTCTCATTTATGCCGTTGGTTTTTATAGTTTTCTACAACGTAGTGTTTTGTGGAGGTTTGGGAATAGGAGTTAACATCTTCATAGCTGAAATTCTTCCTAGCAACATAAGAGCGAAAGGGCTATCCATTGCAAGTATAGTTTTTGCCTGCACGGTTACCGGAACTACAAAATTGTATCAGTACACTGCGGATTATATTGGAGCTTCAGTACCGTTTTTCATTTTCGCCGGAGTGTCTATTCTTGGAATTTTCTTTATATATTTCTTAGTACCAGAAACAAAAGGAAAAACACTAGGAACGATACAAAATGAACTCAGAGGAAACAAAGAATCTGAGTATAAGGATTCAAAGAAATACCCAAACCAAATTTAATCAAAGTTTCTTAAAGATTTCTACTCTGGATTGAGCAAGATATTACGAGTCTGTGATATTTATTGTAATGCTAAAAATAAGATTTTTGTTTGATAAATTTTTAAATATATTATTAAGATAAAATATAACTCTACTTTTATTTAATTTACCCGAAAAATAAAATTACATGTGTGTTTCTCTATAAAGGGTGAGTCTTAATTAAATACAAATATTTTTAGGGGTAGTAGAGCCAATTGACAATCGATATACAAAAACAGATGGCGGACAGGGGTACCTTCAAAGACCTAATCTACGTACCCCTTAACAGATACATAATGTTTTTAGTAACTGCCATGAGAGTTTTTCAGCTCTTCACGGGTTATAACGTCTTCACTTTCTACAGTCAGATCATGATATCACAAACTACTAATTTATCGCTAGTGATGGGCTCGTCATTTTTATTACTAGGTGATGTGATAATACTGCTAATAGGAACACTGTATATTGATAAAATTGGAAGGAGGCCTCTGTTCTTAATTTCCATGGTTTTGTCATTTATAGCGCTTATATCCATGGCTGTGTTTTAGCTGTACGAGACTATACACCAATAGACCTATCGGGTGTCTCATTTATGCCGTTGGTTTTTATAGTTTTCTACAACGTAGTGTTTTGTGGAGGTTTGGGAATAGGAGTTAACATCTTCATAGCTGAAATTCTTCCTAGTAATATAAGGGCGAAAGGGTTATCCATTGCAAGTATAGTTTTTGCCTGCACGGTTACCGGAACTACAAAATTGTATCAGTACACTGCGGATTATATTGGAGCTTCAGTACCGTTTTTAATTTTCGCCGGAGTGTCTATTCTTGGAATTTTCTTTATATATTTCTTAGTACCAGAAACAAAAGGAAAAACACTAGGAACGATACAAAATGAACTCAGAGGAAACAAAGAATCTGAGTATAAGGATTCAAACAAATACCCAAACCAAATTTAATCAAAGTTTCTTAAAGATTTCTACTCTGGATTGAGCAAGATATTACGAGTCTGTGATATTTATTGTAATGCTAAAAATAAGATTTTTGTTTGATAAATTTTTAAATATATTATTAAGATAAAATATAACTCTACTTTTATTTAATTTACCCGAAAAATAAAATTACATGTGTGTTTCTCTATAAAGGGTGAGTCTTAATTAAATACAAATATTTTTAGGGATAATAGAGCCAATTGACAATCGATATACAAAAACAGATGGCGGACAGGGGTACCTTCAAAGACCTAATCTACGTACCCCTTAACAGATACATAATGTTTTTAGTAACTGCCATGAGAGTTTTTCAGCTCTTCACGGGTTATAACGTCTTCACTTTCTACAGTCAGATTATGATATCACAAACTACTAATTTATCGCTAGTGATGGGCTCGTCACTTTTATTACTAGGTGGTGTAATAATACTGCTAATAGGAACACTGTATATTGATAAAATTGGAAGGAGGCCTCTGTTCTTAATTTCCATGGTTTTGTCATTTATAGCGCTTATATCCATGGCTGTGTTTTAGCTGTACGAGACTATACACCAATAGACCTATCAGGTGTCTCATTTATGCCGTTTGTTTTTATATTTTTCTACAACGTAGTGTTTTGTGGAGCTTTGGGAATAGGAATTAACTTCTTAATAGCTGAAATTCTTCCTGGCAACATAAGAGCGAAAGGGCTATCCATTGCAAGTATAGTTTTTGCCTGCACGGTTACCGGAACTACAAAATTGTATCAGTACACTGCGGATTATATTGGAGCTTCAGTACCGTTTTTCATTTTCGCCGGAGTGTCTATTCTTGGAATTTTCTTTATATATTTCTTAGTACCAGAAACAAAAGGAAAAACACTAGGAACGATACAAAATGAACTCAGAAGAAACAAAGAATCTGAGTATGAGGATTCAAAGAAATACCCAAACCAAATTTAATCAAAGTTTCTTAAAGATTTCTACTCTGGATTGAGCAAGATATTACGAGTCTGTGATATTTATTGTAAAGCTAAAAATAAGTTTTTTGTTGATAATTTTTTCAAATATATTATTGAGAAAAAATAGAATTGTATTTTTGTATAATTTACCCGAAAAATAAAATTACTTGTGTAACCCATCGTCTATCTGTATACAGGATGAGTTTTAAATAAGTGCTTAATTAGTCTTAATATATTTTTAGGGGCAGTATATTTCGATCCCAGAAACACCATTATGAGTTTTTTTTTACCAAAAAAAATTGGAATTTTTTTGAAAAAATTTTTGTATTTTTTACGTTAAAAAACAGAATTTCTTGATAATATACGATCTTGATATATATCAACGTAGGTAGTCGATTAAATTTACAAGAAAGAAAGCTCAGAAGAGATCCAGTGTTTCTCAAAATTTAAGCAAAAGATCATTTTTTTTGGAAGTTTTTAAAGTAAATAACTCACATAACTTTATAAGTTATTTTGCACTTATTTGAAAAACGGAAGAAAAACTATTTTTAAGTTTCGAAAAGCACATTTTTTTCAGTTTTTTTTCTTTTCTTTAATTCTAATCTGGTTCGAAACTTTTTATGCTTATTTCAATAAACATTATGGTTTGAAAAAATCTCTTGGCTGCTTTACAGCGCTTTCCGATGGAGCGGAGCGTCCGGTGTCCACGCAAACCGTCCGCTTTGTTCGTCCGCGTGTCTTTTTAAGATAGCCGTCGTCGGACGAAATCATCCGGATAAAGCATAAGCGACCAATGTGAAGTTGTTCATATAAACTCATGGTACTTACTCGAAGTCGCGAAGCGTCCGCGGGTTCCATGAGTTTAAATAAACAATTTCACATGGGTCGCGTATGCTCTGTCCGGATGATTTGGTTTGACGGCTGTCTTGAAAAAAAAAGTAGCACAAAAACAGCGTGGACGCTCCGCTCCATCTGAAAGCGCTGTTAGATCTTTTATTTTTTTCTATTTCAGCGCTTTCAGACGGAGCGGAACGTTTTTTCAAGATAGCCGTCGACGAACTCATCCGGACGGAGCATACGCGACCTATGTGAAATTGTTCATATAAACTCATGGTACTTACTCGAAGTCGCGAAGTGTCCGCGAGTTCCATGAGTTTAAATGAACAATTTCACATGGGTCGCGTATGCTCCGTCCGGATGATTTGGTTTGACGGCGATCTTGAAAAAAAGCAGCACAAAAACAGCGTGGACGCTCCGCTCCATCTGAAAGCGCTGTTAGATCTTTTTTTTTCTATTTCAGCGCTTTCAGACGGAGCGGAACGTTTTTTCAAGATAGCCGTCGACGAACTCATCCGGACGGAGCATACGCGACCTATGTGAAATTGTTCATATAAACTCATGGTACTTACTCGAAGTCGCGAAGCGTCCGCGGGTTCCATGAGTTTAAATAAACAATTTCACATGGGTCGCGTATGCTCTGTCCGGATGATTTGGTTTGACGGCTGTCTTGAAAAAAAAAGCAGCACAAAAACAGCGTGGACGCTCCGCTCCATCTGAAAGCGCTGTTAGATCTTTTATTTTTTTCTATTTCAGCGCTTTCAGACGGAGCGGAACGTTTTTTCAAGATAGCCGTCGACGAACTCATCCGGACGGAGCATACGCGACCTATGTAAAATTGTTCATATAAACTCATGGTACTTACTCGAAGTCGCGAAGTGTCCGCGAGTTCCATGAGTTTAAATGAACAATTTCACATGGGTCGCGTATGCTCCGTCCGGATGATTTGGTTTGACGGCGATCTTGAAAAAAAGCAGCACAAAAACAGCGTGGACGCTCCGCTCCATCTGAAAGCGCTGTTAGATCTTTTTTTTTCTATTTCAGCGCTTTCAGACGGAGCGGAACGTTGTTTCAAGATAGCCGTCGACGAACTCATCCGGACGGAGCATACGCGACCCATGTGAAATTGTTCATATAAACTCATGGCACTTGCTCGAAGTCGCGAAGCGTTCGCGAGTTCTATGAGTTTAAATGAACAATTTCACATGGGTCGCGTATGCTCCGTCCGGATGATTTGGTTTGACGGCTATCTTGAAAAAAAAAGCAGCACAAAAACAGCGCGGACGCTCTACTCCATCTGAAAGCGCTGTTAGATCTTTTTTTTTCTATTTCAGCGCTTTCAGACGGAGCGGAACGTTTTTTCAAGATATCCGTTGACGAACTCATCCGGACGGAGCATAAGCAACCCATGTGAAATCGTTCATATAAACTCATGGTACTTGCTCGAAGTCGCGAAGCGTCCGCGAGTTCCATGAGTTTAAATGAATAATTTCACATGGGTCGCGTATTCTCCGTCCAGATGATTTGGTTTGACGGCTGTCTTGAAAAAAAAGCAGCACAAAAACAGCGTGGACGCTCCGCTCCATCTGAAAGCGCTGTTAGATCTTTTATTTTTTTCTGTTTCAGCGCTTTCAGACGGAGCGGAACGTTTTTTCAAGATAGCCGTCGACGAACTCATCCGGACGGAGCATACGCGAGCCATGTGAAATTGTTCATATAAATTCCTGGTACTTGCTCGAAGTCGCGGACGCTCCGCTCCATCTGAAAGCGCTGTTTGCCGCACAGAATGTACTAATGTACAGCGTACAGATTAGTCATAGATTTACTTGAGAAACTCTAAAGGGTCCCTTTTTAGGAACATATCTTATACTCATCAACAGTAAATCGACAAAAAATTAAGAATGTAAAAAAAATAGTTCTAATTATATTTTCTATACAGTTTTAAATAGAATATACAATTGTTAACATAACGTTATCAGTGTTTGTAATAAAACTATAAAAATGTTAAACTATAAGTGTGTGGTAAATTTTATCTCAGATGTAGCAAATATTCATAAAGAATTTAGATATATATATTTGCATAACTTTTTTATGAAGAATCAGAAAGTAATTTAAAATAGTTTCAAAGCAATTATCTAACATGATTAAGTTTCGTATATTAAAAAAGATGATTTGAAATTTAAAAATTGTATTTAGTAATACGATAAGCTAAATGAATGAACTTATATCTATGAACCTTCCAATTCGATATCATATTTATAGACACGTATTCTTCGTGCGGTT